AAAATAAACACCGGTATTCGGTATGAACCGGTATATACCGCCCAGCACTACATACAGTATTTGACAATTCAGCATATTGTCACATATAACAATATAATCGGATTGTGACTAATATGAAAAAAACCTAGATCTTACAGAAGCGGCTGTACGCTCACAGAAAAGCACTTAGAATTTGCACTTATTTAGAAGACTTTTTCATTAATTGATATCATATATAGTAGGGCTGGGAAAATAGGAGATTTTCCGAATGCATCGCAATTCTTTCTCTAGTCGATTCTGAGCTTAGTTTTGAACAGCAGATGGCGCTGCATGCCATACTCTGCTTGGTTTCAAATCCTTACACACACTTGAACCTAAAATAATCATTTATAAAATTCGAAAAGGTTGAAGCGAATTACAAAGGTGTTCACAGTGGGCTGTGTTTACATTAATCTCGCGTCATAAAAGCATTCTGAGCCGAGGTGAAATTGCATGACTCGGCTGAATGCACAAGTGCTCTTTAGCACTCTTCTTCATGAGCATTTGAGTGTGCGGATAAAAACTAGATTAGAGCGCCATCTGCTGTTCAAAATCTAAGCTCGGAATCGATTCCAGAGAGAATCGCGATGCATTTGGAAGATCTCAGAATCCATCCACGAATCGATTCTGCATCGATTTATCATCGCAGCCCTAATATATAGTAATGAAAAATATACATATTTTCAGTTCCCACAGTCATAGAAAACCTTGAAATATTAGGGAATTTCGAATTAATGTATAGCAAAATTATAGAAATTACATTTACATGTATCAGTAAAATCTTTTAAAAAAACAACAGTGATTGTCGGAGCCGATGGCCTCGTGGGCAGCTCACCGACATGTAGCGCTGTTGCGCTTCGGGCGTCCCGAGTTCGAGTCCCGGCTCGCGGACCTTTCCCAATCCCACCCCCCTCTCTCTCACCCACTTCGCTTCCTGTCGACCTACTGTCCTATCTAAATAAAAGGCATAAAACGCCAAAAATAAATCTTAAAAAAAAAAAAAAAAACAGCATTGATATTTACTTATTTTAAATTAAATATTTCTTATCTTTGCCTGCATTTTATGCATGAAGATGCATCAAATCACTTTTTGCAAGCATTTTCTTAAGATATTTTTCTTTACTAAAAGACAAATTGCAAGAAGCTGGAAATGAAACAGTTATATTTTGATTCCATATATTCATAAGTATTATATATACAATTGTAGTCAAAAAATATATATGTGTGCTTGTGTTTGTGTGTGTGTAGGTTTACATGTATACACACACACATACATAT